TCTTATTAGTGTGTTAATTTTTTGCTAATAGTCTTGTGGTGATGGATCTGGAATAGTCCGTGTTTTAATGAAAGCAATGGATGTCATAGGGTGGGGTGTACGTTAGGTTTGTGGCCACATGCAAAGAAACTGTACAGAGAGGGAATGGGCCTCTCTAACATTCTGAGTTTGTTGGGTTGGTCCTCACATTGGACATTTCACACCATTCTTCACTCATTCCACACAGGCTGTATTTATTAAAGAGATTTTACATCGACAACTTTCTTTCGTTTTAAAAAATTTTACAGCATTGGGTGTTGTTGATGATGCATGAGGTGTAAGAAAAAACGTCGTGGTGTCTATGTCAGTTCAATTCCTGCCTGAAATTTCCACTCCCAGAAATTTAATTCCTCCTCCTTGTACACACGTCACCCTATTGGCTATTCTTTCTGGTAATTTCATCTACAAAATCAATAAACCCAAAGTAGCTAGCTCCAAAGCATTATTCAACAAGAAATGTAAGAAACCTGGCGTTGGAGAATCCAGAGAAAAGTGAAATCAGAATTTCAAGGCTCCTAGGTTGTTTGCATATTTGTATAGGAAAGGAAGTCTTAGACCGTGGTTAGGTTTGCTATCTGAGACACCGGGTGGACAGGGGGCTAGAGGCGTTTGATTAACTCCTCGGATCCTCAAGTCGGCCTGGTGAATATGTGTGCAGCCTAGTGGCTGACTAGCTTGAGAAAGGGGATAACTACTAAGGAATTAACCACAGCAAGGTCTACTTGGCTGCCAATGACAGGAAACTCTGGCTATCTAAGTTTCCCCATTCCCTGGCCTCACAGCTGCCTAGCAGTTAACTATTGTTTTCTGCTTTGAGATGTACTGTTAGGATTACTCTCTTCTTCCCGATGGCTTCTCCCACCACTGGGATTTTACAGAGTGTCTCCATAACCAATTCCTATTGCATAGGAGCGAATCACCATCGAGCGCATTCTCTCAGCCCCTCGCATTGTCCGAAGACGCTGGCTGGCCTTAGTCACCGTCTGACCCGCTTTGGAAAAGCACTCTTGGCCCTCATTCTCCAGTGAACAACCATCCTTTCCAACCAAAGACAAATTCGGTCCTTACCTCCTCCTTTGCTTCTTCACAAAAGATCACTTACCAAAAGGGTAGGTAGCCTCTGAGGAAGGCCGTTTTGAGGGCAAGCTTCCAAGGCCCACTTAATTCCTTGCCGCTCCCTGGATGCCCGCTTTTGTGTTCCAGCAGCGAACGCAGCTCAGAACTGAGGACTTACAGTCCCATACCCAGGCCTCTACCCCAGGCAGACCCTCAGCAGCTGCTTGGGGTTCTGCATACTTTCTAAACTTGGGTTTAGACTTGGGTCTTTGCTGGTTCTTGACATTAATATTCTCTCCGCTGACATCCAACTCATCCCTCTGTATCCGTTTCTTAAACGGCAGTGCAGAAGTCACTTCCTCCCTTTCACCCCATAGGGAAACAGGGTGGGTAACGTCAGAATTGAAATCTCAGTTTTACTCTGAGCAAACAAATAATACACCGGGAGATTAATTAATATGACCAGTTGGTGCCGGTGGTAACTCGGAGGTAACTAGGAACAAAATCTTCTAGGGCGGAGGAGGTTTCTGCTTTCCCCCTGTCTCGTTTCACAAGGGTTTGCGCGCGTGGAAGCAAACGAAAATGTTTAGAAATTCTGCTTATTCACCCAGGGAGTGTCTATCCGCCCCAGTGTGCCTGAGTGGGCCTGCCTGTACCTGCCCACCCGCCAGAGATGCCACCTCCCTAGGCCGGTATAACCCCGTCTAGCCGAAAGACCTTCGGCCAGTAGGCCGGAAAGGGAGAAATTCCTTCCCAGAAGGTTTATATTATTTCGCTCCACAGGAGACCAGGACTTGGCCGCACTCCGTTGAAGATTCAGGCGGGAAATGTCCGAGCCAGACTTGCGGGGGAAGGAAGGGCAGTGGAGCGTCGGACCGGTGGGAGCGCAGAGGGCGCCGCCGCGCGCCCGAAGTACATTTTCAAGGCCGCAGCCACTGCAGCTGTTCAGCCGATCCTGGGTGAAGTTTCCTCACTTGAGCTTAGTCAGAGGCCAGGGCCTTGAGACTCGCAGCAGTTGGTGGCCTCTAAGCCCTAGCAGCATCTCCAAAAGACAGGGAGTGCGTGCGGGAGAGCGTGTGGGAGCTAGTGTGAACAGGAGAGTAAGACAGGCGTCTGTACAGTACTGAAGCCCCGCAGGCCTAGGCTTTTGGGAGGCTACAAGGCTTCATTGGAAGGTTTTGAAATAAATATTGTGTCCTCTGTCTCACCAGTGAATACCCTGCAGGGAGGAGGCCTTAGTTGACTGTTCCCCCAAGGCTTCAGGTTGGTGCCCCAAATTTCGGGTGCTCAGGCGCCAACTAAAGCCAACTTTGTCCAGACCCGGAAAGAAAATCAGGTTGTGAAAAAGCAAACAGCCAGCGAGTATCTGAATTAAAGTTTGCTTTACAGTTCGACTTTACCAGTTCAACTTGAGCCCTGGGCTGTCTGGGAGTCCTGCTGATTTCAGGATCCGGTAGGGTTGACCAAAAATAGTTGAATCCATCAGAGAGAAGATGGTGAAAGCCACAAACACAGCAACTTTGGTCTGATGAGCTTTTTAACAGACCAGAGGCAGTTTTGGTTTTATTTTGTATTTATTTCCTCCCTTTGCCTAAGATTAGCAACCAACACACTAACCTCTCCCGCTCTAATAGAGAAAAGATAAATTGTGAAACCCAATAGGAGAAAAACAGAGTAGGCTGCCTAAACAATTTCTCTGTGTGTGTGTCTCTGGTCAGAGTACTATACTAAAGAAGGAAAACCGGGGCCTAGAAGGCCCCCATTTCTGCCCACACTTTTTACAGTTGGATTCAGAGTGGGCAGCTACGACACGGAGCTCAGCAGTCCCACGCCAAAGGGCCCTTTTTACTAAAGGACGATTTCTCGTTCCTAGACGTTCCAAGTAAAAGAAAGCCTTTAACCCATTCCGAGATCTCAGAGCTGAGGGCCCGTCTGCCCAAGGCTATGCTGGGTTACCTAGTGCTCTCAGTTTTGAATTCCTGCTCCTGGAACCTTGCCCATAGATGCAGTTCATTGTTTCCTAACCCAAATGTAACCTTTTGCCTTTTTAAAATAAGTGATAAAATAATGAAACAGACAAACTGAACTGTGTTGCCGAGGTTAGCTCTATATCACATCTTCCAACGAATCTTTGTCAGGCAGGGACGACTAAACAAAATTCTGGAGACTGGCCCTCCTTGTTCACGTGTCTGTGTCTGGAATATTCTCTTTCTGATCCCCTCCCTTTGCTCCCCTCATGTCCGGCTAAGAAGGATGACTGAAGGGGAAAGCCGTGAACTATGTCCACGGGTTTTTTTTGTTTTGTTTTGTTTTGTTTTTTTGACCCCACATGTTGGCCCTTTTGAACATAAGACCCTAGACACACTGCCAGCAACCTAGATTCTCCCCAGAGAAAAGTTCCCTTGACATCAGTCTTGCTAAGTCGGATAATTTCTCCCTTTTCCACTGTGAGGGAAATTATATAAAAGTGACTCCCAAATCGAAAGTTGTCAGAAAGCCTGCAAGACATTCTAATAACTGTATGGATGCCTTAGCATAATTCTCAAGACAGATCAATTCAGAGAGGAAACTGGCTGGGGGGGGGGAACGTCCATTAGCCATGTGCCCCATCCTGTATAGCCCACGAAGCAGTCCGAGTGGACCTGCCCTCTTTCCCAATGAGATAAAGTCGTGGATGGACGAAATAAATCTCCTTTTAATTTTCTTTTCATCGACTAATAAAAATAATTCCCCAGCACTAAACCGAAATTCCGTAACGCGCCACAAGAACACGGAGAATTCATAAAACTCTGTCTCCGCGGGTCTCTGGCTAATCGCGTTATTATTAGCCTCTGGAGCGTGGAAACTGAACTGTCAGTGCCGAAAGAGAAAATGTAAGCGACAGCTGTCCCTCTTCGGGCTTTGGCCAGCTTTTAGGCCAGGATCCCCAAGCTCTACAGCTTACTGGCTGTCCCCATCCCAGTGTGGGCGGCTGCCAGACTCTACCCCCTCCCCCAAGCCTCAGGACCTGGGGTCTACTCCCGGATCCTTGCTGTTGTTTCGCTGGGCCACCTCCTGCACTGCTTTAGAAGTCTGTACTGAAAATACAATTTGCCTAAACTACTCCCAGGCCGCTGAAACAAGTTGTAAGTGTTGTGTTTGTGTGCCTGCCTACAGGATTTTGACAACAGCTGTTCCCTCGGGCTGTTTTTGCTCTGTTGAAATCTTGGCACTTAATGCAAAATGTGAGGCTGTTTTCCCTCTCCTAGGGTTCTGTTAAAATACACACACTGACATCCGCCCTGAGTTTAAAGTGTTATGTGCATATTATATGTGTATAATGTGGACAGTCCTAAGACCAATTAACTGAAAACCCACCTACCCAAATACAGATTTGTGGGCACTGGATAAAGATCTAAGTCTCATCTCAAGAAACAGGGTCTAATATGTCTCCAGCAAGGCAGAAATACAGTTATACTCCACCATACTTGGGAGGAAAACTACATGAAAAACACGGAGCATTTCCCATGACTGCAGTACAAACTTCACCGGTCAATGCTCGGGAGCCCTCATAAGCAAGTCTCAGATCCACTGTGCCCTTTCTCCAGTGTCTTTGACTGGACTCTTCCGAACCCAGGGAAAGCCCTTCAGAGTGGGCACCTCAAAATGCTGCTTGCTCTCTGCTACAAGAGAAGGGATGAACGCAAGTAGGCCTGCTTGAAATTGGCGATTAAAATCCAAGGCTCTGGCCAGCCCCCCAAATTGGTTCCGGCGAATTTAGGGAGGCTCAAGGTATTTATGCCAAGAAAAAGAAACCCACGTCGGAGCGAGGCTTGGAGTCAGCAGGCAGGGTCTCCCTCCACACACCGGGATACCATTGGGTTCCTTCTCCACCCGCCTCCCGTAGTCCGATCCCACACACTCACCCGGGTGGGGCTCCAGGCCGTGTGTCGCCGGGTCGTCTGTGTCTCCGAGTGGGCCTGCGGGACTCAGTGCCTCCATGGACAGGTCCAGCCCCTTCTCCTCCCAGTCTCGCAGCTTCCGCTTTTTATTTGAGCCGATCAAAGCTTCAACCGAGAAGGCATGTGCTCGGGAGCTCAGGGCGACTGCAGATCTTCTCCTTTCACTCATTTTAGCCGCCCGCACCCGGGTCCCCTCTCGCCCGCGCTACTGAGCTGGCAGCCCCGAGGCCGCACGCTCGGAGCGCCTGCCGGGCCCGGCCCAGTAGAGGCGGCGGCGCCGCAGCCGAAGCAGGGGCGGCGGCTCCGCGGGTGATCTGAGCCCTCCCTCCGTGTCCTCCCCCGCCCTGGACCGCCGGATCCGACTGGTGCCCCCAGCTGCCCCAGCCTCTAGGAACGAGCGCCCGGAACGCTGCCCGCTCGCTGCATGAGCGCTAAGAGTCCAGTTTCCCACCCACCCGGGCAGGCGCTCACAAGCCTTGCAGACAGGACTTCATCTTTCTTTCTTTCTTTTTTTTTCTTTCTTTCTCTCTTTTCTTTCTTTCTTTCTTTTTTTTTAAATTATCTCCCCCTCTCTCCTCCCTCTTCCTTTTTTTTCTCCTCCCTCTCCCCCCTTCCCCTGTCGGTCTTCCCGTCCTTCCCTGATCCAAATTTCTGGGAAACTTTTTCCCCCCTGAATTCCTCCCTTCCCGAGGAACAGGGGGTAGGCAGTGAGCTCCTGTCCGAGGGGTGAGGGAGAAGGGAGGGGGGAGGAAGAAAAAAGACGGAGGGGAGGGAAAGCCAGCCCCCAACCAATGGCAAGAGGGGAACAAGAGAAACCTCGAGAGCTCTGGCCAATGAGAAGAAGGGAGAGACTGAGGCTCGGGCCAAGGCTGAGCCTGGCCATCCCTGGGTTGCTTCCCTGCCAACTTTAACCCCTGGCTTCCCGATGCCCAACTCGTTTCCCAGGGTGAGGAGGGCAGTCGGAACAACCGAAAATCAAGCCCTGATCTTTTGCCTTTATAGACTAGACCAAAATACAAATCCAGATTACAAATCCGTATGATTACCTTCCAAATTCTCTGCGTCTGATTGACCTAACTACCCATTATCAATTAAGATGCAAATCCGGAAAGTTGGTGCTGTGACAATTTGCTAATATCCCCCCACCCAACACCAAGGCAGAGTAGGTTTCTGATCACGTCACACTAGCCCCCCAGGGGTTTTGAGATCTGCCCAAGTTTTTCCGCATAGGTTCCTGCTCTATTCCAGATTAATGTTCTCTAAGCTGGTCTGGTTAAGACAAAACGAAACAAACAAAAAAGCCCAGTTGTCATCCTAAGTGAACCTTTCGAGATTTTACCCTCCTTCCTGCTCTACCTGATGAAGGGAGAAGGGCCATTGAGACCTGAGAGACCAGCCTGAGGCGCCGAGTTTACCACGGGTTCTGCAAGCTCCCTGCTGGACCAGCCCACCTACGCAGAGTTGCGCTTCGCCTATTCGGGGAACTTATTCCAGAGAACCCACAGCGGGTGCCAGAAGAGAGCAGCTAAGAATTTTGATGGCTGAGAAGAAGCCCCCCCCCCATCCCCAAATCTTTCAAGACAGTTCCTTCACCACTGATAGCCGATAGCCAAGGAACTTAAAATCCAACATTCCCTCACCATCCTTCCTGTCCACGGGTTCACAAGTTATTTACCCTGACTATGAATGGCATAACCCACACCCTCCAGCACAGACTTATATCAAGCAAGCACCGAGTCCACCAGTCAAATAAATAAATAAACAAGAGTCTCATATCTTGAAGGCAGAGGCCTAAAAGCCTCATTTCCCCATTGCAAAGTCCTGGTCAAAATAAGTCTATCCTGGGGCTATGAAACTGGAAAAGGCTGAAAGCTTACCACAGAGTGGGAGGCCCAGCAAAAAGAGTCCAGCCAGGCACTGAGCTTAGATGAAGGGGTGCAGGGGATGTGAGTAGCTCCAAAGAACCAGTTATCAGCAGTAAGAAGCGAAGGAAGGCTGGCCACCTCTAAAAGGCCGCACTCCCCTGCCTATTCCCAGGACCAAGGAATGTACTTCCTGCCATTCTCATTGAGAGCCTCTGCTGCTGGAGGCAACAACCAACCATCTGGCCACTGGACATTGGCCTTCTGAGAGCTAAGCTTAAAGTTCCTTTTTAAAATTTCTCTCCAGTTGTGTTCCAGCCTGGACAAGAGCAAGCTGGTGGGACAGCATATGGAGAAGGCCCTCATGGGTGTGTTTCCATAGGGCCTGGACCCCAGGACCTCCCTGGAGTCTTCTTGTATGGCTTGGAAAGCCCCAGGCAGCAAGGAGAAGATTTTGTCTGGAATGGAAAGCCAGGCGCTCCAGAGATTGCCCCTGTAGATTATGAGAAGCAAGTGTCAAGGTGCCCTTCCCAACCAGCACTTCTAGCCCGCACCGTGACTGAAAGTGACCACAGACAAGGCAAGCCCAGAGCCCTGCAAATCCCTTTCCCACTAGTTTATGTCTTACTCTGGGCTTCTGGTCTCATAGGGCCTCTCACAACCCCTCATGGTTCCTCTTCCAACCCTATGGCTAGGAGCCAGCCTATATGAGGCTTAATGAGAAAGCCTGTGTCACCCTCTAGAATGTCCCAGATCTTTCCTCCATTCCATTGTCTCCCATCTCTCTCTGAAGTCCCCTTTATATTCTTTGAAAGGCCTGGTTTGAACAGAGAAATGGATATGCCATGTAGGGTAAACACCCTCTGTGAACCCATTTAGTCCTGCCCTTGCCCCCTCCCACTATCTTGGACCAACAAGATGCCTTGGACCGGTGAGCTGGCTCAGTCATTAGGGTCGCCATTAGCCCCAGCAACCTGAGATGAAGGGAGAGTGCCAAATTCTGCAAAGTTGTCCTCTGACCTCTGTATGGGCACTATGGCATGTGCATGTATGAGTACACCTGTGTGCACACACATATACAAAGCCCACATTAAAAAAATTAAAGAGGCATGAGCCCATCCATATGGCAGGCCACAGACAAAATGTCCCACAAGAAAGAAGTGCCTTCAAGGTAGTCATCTACATCCCACTCCATAGCTTATGTTTAGCAGCATCCTCTATGAGTTACTGTGCCTCTTCTTCAAGCCGCAACAACTTTATCCCATATCCACTCATATTCTAGTCACAATTAAAGCCACAAAAACTAATCCCATTCTGTGTTCCCATTGGAGTTAATCTAATCCACCCACCTAGGGGCACGTACTCAGTAGTGTAAAAATCTATGTTGATGGGGAAGTGTGGTGGAGGGAGTTAAACAAGGTGGTTTGGGTACATACTATACAGTCAACTGGGGTGGAGAGGGGATTGTAGGGGTTAACTAATTTGGACATGGGGTAGTGTTTTTCTTCTATTGATTGCTCAAAGGGCTTCAAAAGACTTCTTCTGTTTCCTTAATTCCTTTTTTAACTTTTAGGGAAAAGAATGGGGCCCCCAGTTTTGAGGCTGACATCTAGGCATTCTCCAGGAATCCCAGCTGCAAGCTCCACCTTGTGACCTGAGTAGATTCCACAGACTATAATTCCACCTCAGGTCTATTTCAGGCCCAAGACCAAGTCACAGGGTCTAGCTCAGCTTCTGCTTGACAGCAAGAAAGAAGAACGTGTGTTAAACCATGAAAAACCCGAGGAGATTCCCCAGGAGTCACGGAACACCAGGAGGGACATGTGTGGAAATGAGGTCTAGGCCTAACCTTGACAAAGGACAGAGATACCAGAAAGGGCAGCATAACACAGAGACTGCCCTCCTCAAACCGGCCCAGCCAGGTCACCAAAATTTCAAAGGTAAAAACAGAGTTCGGCAGCAACAGGACAAGAATCATAAAGAAAAACAGGCATTCCGAGAACTGGAGCCCCCACCCACATTCTCCGTGTACATTTCTCTTCCTCCAGTTACAGTCCCCTAAATACCGCCTTAAATCGCTTTCTACTAATGCTTCGGAGCTGAGGTGACCCACCAGCCGGCTTTGATTTTGGGGAATTTCGAGTGAGTAATTGAAAACAAAGTTAAGAACAACTGGCCAGCAGGACAAGTTAGGCTTCCCCTAAACACGTGGGAAGGACATTCTGTGCGGGCAGGGGGGACTGCAATGAACTTGGCCATCGGGGAGGTGTAAAATATTATGAGGCGACTATGGGGTGGGAAAAGATCATGGAGACTGTAAGGTGAGGTTTGCATGCTGATCAGGCCTGCTTCAACCCCAAACTCTGTGACCTTGGGCAAGTCGATTAACCGGCTAGGACCTCAGTTTCCATTCTCCAGAGACAGAGATCGAAATGATTTGCAGCTAAGAATAAGCAACTATATCCATAGGGGGCGGAAGGTCGACAAACCTAAGGCTTTATTACGGCTGAGATCAAATCTTATGTTCACCTCTTTTCACTTCTGCTTTTCAAACGGGCACCCCCCGAAGCTATAGAAGAGTGTGTGTGTGTGTGTGTGTGTGTGTGTGTGTGTGTGTGTGTGTGTGTGTGTGTGTGTGTGTGTGTGTGTGCGCAGAATGGAACAGAGTGAGTGGCCTGGAGTCCTCGGGTGAAGCGGGAGAGAGAAGAGTAAATTTTGAGAAGCCCTGCCCAAGGCAGCATGGGCTTTCTCCTGTAGCGCACACCTCAAGTTGCCTGGGCTGGCTTTCGTCCACAGCTAAGACATTGCCTTGAGTTCTTGGCTATCCTGAGAACAGCCCCTCCCCTCGCGCCCCCCATAACACACAGTTTTTAAAAATAAAAGTCCATGGGGGCAAAGGGTCTTTAATGATGTTTTTTTGTTTGCGCGAAATAAAAATCGTCTATTTTTATTTTAACCCAGCAGCATGCCCACCTCTCGGTCCTTCCAGATGTTTGCAATAAAATCGCAGGTTTTGCCTTTGGGACTTGAAATAAAATTTAACGGCCTTCACCCCGTAATTATTCTCTTAGCTCGCCCTTCATAAATTTATCTGCTTTCTATCGGCGTTAGGGCAAGAGGCGAGCGAAAGGGGGGAAAGCCCCGATTTTATATTTGTGACTATAAAAAAGCGCCACCCGGTTTCCTCGCCTTCGGCCACCGCCGCAGTGTGGCCGGGCAAGCCGGGCAGGCAGGCCGCAACATTGCACTATTGTTCCTGACTTAGGTCTGCTCAGGAGCTCACAAAGGGGGCCTTGTGTGGCCCTGCCCGCTGTGGCCGCGCCCAAGAGGTGAGGAAATCCTCAGGCTCAGCTCCTCTTTCCCGCCTCGGTTTAAGCTACCCTGCAGCCTGGTTTGCGCCTTCCTTGGACTTCGCAGGAAGCGAAACTTCCATTTTGTGCAAAGCTGTTGACTGAGAGGCAGGAACCTGCTTGAGGATTCCCAAGCAGGCTAGGTAAGGTTGCTTGTTTATAGGAGAACACAGCCAAAGTCAAAATGGAGGGGAGCACTGAG